GCGCGCACGAGCGCATCTGCGAATGACAGCAGTTGTTTCCAAGTTTATCCGAAGCTGCGGGACGTATTCGGCCTCTTAATTCGCCCATCTACCTGCGCTCTCGAGGAGAAGGCAGACGAGACGCGCGCGATGATAATCGCCACGTATCCGCAAAGCCGAAGAGCTGGTCTCGCGCACGTAAACAGCGAGCGAGCGTGTGGGTGCGCATGCATGCCTTCGTTAGCGAAATTTATTCCATTATTATGCCGATGCGGTTTAAGAGGCTCGGTAGGCAAAGCAGATACGTATGGCATTAAAATTTAATGACGGCGAAGCAAAGATAAGCCAAAGAAATGCGGATTAAATGCACGATAACGCGCGCGGCTGGATTGACAAGAGCAGAATAAATCGATTTATCAAGAGAAAATCAATTATGATCGGAGGTGACTTAGAAGTCGGATAATACGACGTTGATAGAATGGTTACGACAGCTTGAGTCGAAATTTGGATTTTACATTAAGTCTGCAAATATTGACAAACTTGTAGGTCAATGAATAATCTGAAGATACAAGATTTATACAGATCATTGCGCTCTTTTCATGCTACAAATCGTAACTTATTGCCGTTTTCTCTATTAGACTTACAGAAGAATTTATTTAGAACATTTACCCGAGTATTGTGATTCTGCACTGATCCTGTGCAAATTCCATCGAACTTGAAGAGTCAATGAAAAATTTCGGGATATACAAACTCTTGGTCTACTTTGGTGCTGCAGTTGGTTGGTTGTTTTTTCATCTTGCGCGAATGTTGTTGAGTATTAAGGTGTATGAGGATTTATATATATAAGAGAAATAACTAAATAACAAATGATAACTGATAAATTATTAATAGATAATTGATAAATCCCCATACTTTTATATTTAATGGCATCTATGCCAAGTGGATGGTAAGTGCTGTAACGAGTGCCAGGCGTTTTTTCTTATTTAATATCTGGTCTCTTTATTTATTTTTAGTCGTTTTAATTATGTCTTAATTATTATATATATATATATATATATATATATATATATATTTATTTATTTATTTATAATAGAATACATATCTGTCTGTTCTCTATAAACTCCTAAGCTCTTTGATCGATCTGGATCAAATTTTGCATGATTATTCTCTAGGATTCTGCGAAAAATATAGGCTACATAAAACCTGGACACATCCTATTCTCTCTTTTTAATTTCATCCTCTTGACACTTTGTGATAAGCCGGGCAACACCGGATAGTTTAAGCTAGTTTAACATATAACACGCATTATAATAAAACCAGCGAAATCTCCTTTCGAATCCCCTTCTTATAGGTCTCGCATGAAATCTCTCACGAAGCGAAGCTCCTATGCGAAGCGCGAAGTACGAATCGTAGCTGTGCGCGGCGGAAAGCTCCAAATTTATCGCCAATAGCTACCTGGATGCACGAGAAGCTATCTTTGATCGCCCTCTCTCTTTCCTCTCTTTCTCTATTTCGTGCTGATTTATAGATCGTACTTTAAAACGGCTACTCGCGGAAGTCCATTCTCAAGAAACGGAGAAAATGAAATTTCTTCTTTTTTTTGTGTCTCATTCATCCGTGGAATGTCGAAATGTAGCGTTTTTGCGTAACGCCAAGCGCCGGGATATCGCCGCCGGAAACGGTTACTCGTCCGAGAATAATCGACCGCGACTCGTTTCCTCGACGTTCTTGCCCTCTGTGATTCTGCTTCAGCGGGGACAGAGCTAAATGCCGTCGTATCGGGCAAAATTACGGCGGCTTAATCTTTCCCTTCATTTCTTTCCTGCTGCCTGCTGGCGCCCTTCGGACCGACCGGCCTTCGGGATAGCCTCCGGTTATTCCGGACACGTAGGCGATCGAGCTAAACTTCCCTTTAACGCGTTCCGCGCCCGCGAACACACCCCACGGAGAAAACGTTTTCGTGCATCACCTCACGCTTTTCTCGTAACAGCTATAATTACACGCCTGATTCGCACGAAAATGTCGCGCTCTCGGCGTGATAAACGACAATTAACTGCGCGGCAGCGAAATTTCGCTGAAAATTGTCCCGACGTCTCGCTTTCTGACACGCGAACGAACTATGCAATTTCCGCGCAAAAGAGATATCGCTTTTTCGATTCATCCAGGGCGATCTGCGTAATATACGTTTGCGCGTTTACGCTCCTTCTTCCACTTTTTACAGCGGCCAAGTCGGAAACCATCTGGGTGTTACGACGGCTATTGGTACAGAGAAAGACGCGAAGAAAAGTCTTTTCCCGTGGGAGATAACGTAATACATACTCACATACTCTCTCTCTCTCTCTCTCTCTCTCTCTCTCTCTCTCTCTCTCTCTCTCTCTCTCTC